GAGCGAATTTCATTGGTTGAAAACAGTCAGAAACAGTCAGAGAACTAGTTTCAACCAATGAAATTCACTCTGACTGGTTTGTGATTTCTGCAGAAACAGACCTTATATGTACAGTGACCGCCAAAAAGTTTGCAACAAATGGGAAAATATTTTATTATTAAAATATCAAAAAGAATGTTACGTGGGATCAATTTAGCACACCTATCAACAAAAAAAAGCACTGTGACAGATATCATGTGACCACAGTTATGGCGGGATATTTAAAAAATTCGCCTCATATATTTAAAAAGTGGGGTAGATGACCAGAAATCGAAAAATTGTAGAGAGAAAAGTGGTTCATAATTCGATTTTACGTCTATGTGTCAATTTTTGAAAAGGTACAAGGATTTTTAATAAATATCAATTTTTTGGTGTGTTTTCTGGTAATTTGGAGAATATTAAAAACTTTTCGGAAAAATATTGGTTTAATTGAATTTAGAAAAGAGGTATTGGATCATTTAGAAAGATTTTATGATAATTCCAAATTTGTTATTTCAAATTTTTGCTTTCTGTAGGTCATTGCAACAAGATCAGAGTCTGGATCCTACTGGAGTGACGTCACACCTTACCCTGGAGTTAAAATCAACCTAGAGGTGACCCGCTATCAAAAAACCGGCCCTAGACCCAAGGTTCCAAAAGTTAATAGGTTTGTCTGGTAATGGGTATCTTGATGAAGCATCTAGGGTGCCTTATGGAAATTTGCATTATGTTGAGGCACTCCGGATGACGCCATAAAGTTATCAGGCAATCTACCTCTCTCAAACAACCTTGCCCTAGGACCTATCTATTTTACCAGACAAAGAGGTCGTAATAATACGAAAATTAACCAAAAACGTCGTGGATTTTGAGCGATTTTAATAGATTTGTCCTTCGTCCTTCTGAGCCCTCAAGGAGGACGCATTTTGTCCTGGATTTTACCCAGTTGCTCAAACAATAGGTCTGTTTCTGCAGAAATCATAAACCAGTCAGAGCGAATTTCATTGGTTGAAAACAGTCAGAAACAGTCAGAGAACTAGTTTCAACCAATGAAATTCACTCTGACTGGTTTGTGATTTCTGCAGAAACAGACCTTATATGTACAGTGACCGCCAAAAAGTTTGCAACAAATGGGAAAATATTTTATTATTAAAATATCAAAAAGAATGTTACGTGGGATCAATTTAGCACACCTATCAACAAAAAAAAGCACTGTGACAGATATCATGTGACCACAGTTATGGCGGGATATTCAAAAAATTCGCCTCATATATTTAAAAAGTGGGGTAGATGACCAGAAATCGAAAAATTGTAGAGAGAAAAGTGGTTCATAATTCGATTTTACGTCTATGTGTCAATTTTTGAAAAGGTACAAGGATTTTTAATAAATATCAATTTTTTGGTGTGTTTTCTGGTAATTTGGAGAATATTAAAAACTTTTCGGAAAAATATTGGTTTAATTGAATTTAGAAAAGAGGTATTGGATCATTTAGAAAGATTTTATGATAATTCCAAATTTGTTATTTCAAATTTTTGCTTTCTGTAGGTCATTGCAACAAGATCAGAGTGGTCTGAAAATAAATTTTTGGGTTTTTACAATTTTCCGCGGGACAATTGAGCAGAATGACTGCACTGGATTTTTTTTTGGTTAGTTTCACTTTGAATTATGTGAACCAAGCGAATAGTTTTTGATATTTTTCAAATTACCAGAAAACAGGCCAAAAAATTGATATTTATTAAAAATCCTTGTACCTTTTTAAAAATTCACACATAGACGTAAAATCGAATCCTGAACCACTTTTCTTTCTACAATTTTTCGATTTCTGGTCATCTAACCCCACTTTTCACATATTTAAGGCGAACTTTTTAAATTTCCCGCCATAACTGTAGTCACATGACATCTGTCACATGGCTTTTTTGTGTTGATGGGTATGCTGAATCGATCCCACGTAACATTCTCTTTGATATCTCAATAATAAAATATTTCCCATTTGTTGCAAACTTTTTGGCGGTCACTGTAGAATAAAAGATGTTTTTACTATTTATGATGATATCCGACAACATTGCACTGTTGCGCACTGTCATTGGCGAACGACGCAGTTTTATAAGTAGAAATTGAGGTTTAAGGGCGGGTATTATAAAACTGCTTTGACAGTTAACTTTTTGAATTACATGTAATTTCAGAAGTTTATAAAACCCGCCCTTAAGCAAGGTTATTAGAGAGGTAGGTTGCCTAATAACTTTATGACGTCATCTGGGGTGCTTCAACATAATGCAAATCTCCATAAGGTACCCCAGATGCGTCATCAAGTTACAAGTTCAAGTTACCCATTCAGGCAACTTGTTAACTCTAGGAGCCTTGGGTTTAAAGCTTACTTTTCATGCATCCGTTTTTCCGTCAATCCTGAATCCGATGATCCGGAAGTATTCCTATTTGTCCAAATATTTTGGCGCCAAAATACTGGACCAATAAGAATACTTCCGGATCATCGGATTGACGGAAAAACAGATGCATGAAAAGTATGGACAAATTTTTAAAATCATCAATGACATATGCGCATTTTCGCCGATGTAATGCTGTCCTTGTCATTTGACAGCAATAAAACAAAGATAGGTTACTCATCAAGAGAAATGCGCATAAGCAAAAGGTGAATTTAAAAACTTGCCCTAAGCTTATTTTTTTGGTTTTAAAAATGTTTATATCTTTTTTTTAGCCAGTAATATTTTTTAAATTTATTTTGTTTAAAATTAATAAAACGTTATATGATTAGATGTCCTTTTTTGTTACTCTGTGTCCTTGTTTGTTTAAAGCTTTGTCCTGGATTTCAAAAATTGATAGTTGGCAACCCTACTTATACAGGGTGTAAATTTTAAAACTTACCACCCATATTATCTCGGAGTTGAAACATTTTCTTAAAAATTCCTGAAATACGTCAAGTATAATTTGAAGGCGGATGATTTTTCATGCAAAATCCACCTCCCCCTTTCAACCCCCCAGCCCCCAGAGCCACCCCCTAGAAAATCTTAAATGGGAAGGGGGGGGTCAAGTGATAGGTATAGTCCGACAAATACCATTTTAAAGTCACGTGATACTGGTGGCAAAAAACGTATGTCCATTGATTATGTCGTTGATATCACCTACAAAAAGCTACTGGTGGTTAATTACTATTGAATTTTAATATATGTTCCCACTAACATTTTACAAACGCGTTTCTGAAGTAGTATTGACCAATCAGAGGGCAATTTTAATACTTACAATTGTTGCGAGACTCACTTTTGTCGCATCTGTTGACTGTTGTAATACATTCTGAACTTAAACTGGGTACCCGTTTTCTATTTGCTTCTTTTCTAGTTGGAGAAAGGTTAATGTGGTCAAAATTATTAGCTATGTTTGTTCGTTGTATTATTTTCGAAAATAACTTTGACAAACTAATTGATGACAGTGACGGATTCTATTTCAGGTAAGAATATTATGAACAATAATTAGACAGCAATTTTTTTGTCAATTTTACTATCACCGCTGTTTAAAATGTATTCGACAAGGATAGAGAAAAATCACGTGACTTTAAAATGGTATTTGTTGGACTATAGTATAGGTACATCATTTTGGAGGGTTTTTAATTCCATACATTTTGGTACTAAATTTTAATACCTAAGTTCCTATGTTTTGGAAATATTGACAGTTGAAAATTGACTTTTTTGCAACTTAGACAGGCTGTAAAACCTAAACGAATAATTTTAGAGGAAAGCCGATCCTACATTCTCATCTTAGATTTTCAGAAACTATCATTTGACACCAATTTGGAGTTTAACCGGAGATTAAATTTAATTGAAATCGATTCAGGTTTTACAGCCTGTCAAAGTTGCAAAAAAGTCAATTTTCAACTGTCAATATTTCCGAAACAGTTGAACTTAGGTATTAAAATTTAGTACCAAAATGTATGGAATTAATGGCCATTTCCACCAACTATTTTAGGGAAGCCCTAACGATAGGAATGCCTTAAACTGACATTTCTCCATGTAAAAATGTCATTTTAGGGAATACTTATCGTTAGGGCTCCCCTAAAATAGTTAGTGGAAACGGCCATAAAAACCCTACAATGTATCACTTGACCCCCCCTTCCCATTTAAGATTTTTTAGGGGGTGGGGTGACTGTGGGGGCTGGGAAGTTGAAAGGGGGAAGGTGAATTTTGCATAAAATCTCATCCCCCTCTAAATTATAGTTGACCTGTTTCAGGAATTTTTTGGAAAATTTTTCAACACCGAGATAATAGGGGTGGTAAGTTTTAAAATACACACCCTGTATAGCAATCCGTTCTTATTAGGGCCTGTTTCTCAATAGCAAGTCACCCCCGGGTTAAGCATAACTCCAGGGTAAACATAGAAACTGGACACGCTTACCTTGGACTTAAAGTGTAAACCGACCCGGAGAACTGGAGATGACTTGCTATTGAGAAACCGGTCCTTATTTGCACGGGATACGGGATAAAAAGGGAAGGAGGAAGACCGCCAGAACGTGCAACGTATCCCTGTGTTTTTCATCAAATTTCACCGATGGATCCACCATTCTATGCAGGTCATTGTCATTTCCCATTCACTAAACAAAGCTAACTCATCGGTGAAGTCACCGATTAGAATAAAAACGAGGGGTATTTGTCAATAAAAAATACAATGTCACAACAAATCTATCAATTGTCAAGCTACGTCAGGTAGAATATCAACATCATCAACCCTAATTTAATCCTTGTCAGACCACGGTAATGAACAAGGACAAGGAAAAGGAAATGACAAGATTTCGGAACTTAACAGTCCGGTGACTTATCAGAAATTAGAAGTTTAATCAAGTAGGTACTCCATAAAAACATTGTATTGCAAAAATAAACTTTTTCTTTTGTTTCAAAAATTCCTTCACATTTATCAAGTTCTTCAAGCAAATTCAAACGCTGTATAAACAAGTTCTGCAAGTTATCAAGAATACTCTTACCGTACTGGTCCCGGTAGGGGACACATCAGCCGTTCCTGGAGTTTTAAACGGCTTAAGTATCCCTCAGACAAAAGGGACCCTATGCTATCCTTCGATGAGGCCCTCGGTTTCTGGTATTCTTCCTGCTCGTCCTGGTCCATGTTTGGCTCCGGCGTCTCTTCTTTCTCCATCATGCCGAACTTCTGAAGAAAATACCTCGTGCTAGGCTTCTGATGAATACTCTTTTTACTCTTTTCTACAGACTGTGATTATTTTATCTTATTTTTTTTTTTTTTTTGTAATAAATTTTTTGAAAGCGAAATTTATTTGTCTATTTTATTGTTTTAAAAAATCAATTATTTCCATGGCAACGAAACACCCTGCGAGTCGATAAATCAGCGGACAAAATATTTGTTTTTACAGCATGATTTACAATAGGGAACTTGCAAGTGAACTAAAATTTCCCAAATTTGTTTTAAATCGATAGTTTATAGTACTGCACAATATTTATAATATAGATATGATCAGTTTTTTTTTTAACTGATACCGCCCTTGTTACACAAAAATATAACAAAATTTGAAATAAAAAATTTCCCGCCAAAACAATTCTTCCATGATGGCTACCTTTTTGAAGTCACGATTCTGTAAACAAACCTGTCAAATGACGTTTTCAATTAAAAGAGATGGACAATAAAAGGGCGCGTTTGGGTTGACGATCGGTGCACTCAGAGCGTGCACTTTTGTCTCTCTTCCGTTATTTTTGAAGCGCCGACAACGCATGATTGTGTTTGGTTTGACATATTTTGAGCGCTCCGAGCGAGCTCGATAAAGTCCGAGTTTGTGGAGTGGGCAGCTGGAGCGTGCATGCGCAGATCAAATGTGTTTACTTTTAATTGAATTTTCTCGGTAGTCATCATTACTGGCATTATTGAACATATTTTTCCAAGGGAACTTGGCAGCCTCAGAGTGTTAAAGGTCCATTTTATTGTTTATGTAGCACGATATTTTTAGCAGAACACAAAAGAAAATGGGGCTGTTTGAAAATTATCGACTAAAATAAAAAATAAACGAGAAAACTCTGGTGCGAATGCGGAGTGCGGGCTCGGACTCCAAAAAATATATCCTAAAAAAATAAACAATAATCAGCTGATCGCTCAACTCAGCACTTTTGCACGAGTTTATTTGGCTTGACACGGTGTACCCCCTATGACGTCACGTTACTCCGTAATCGCTCTGCTCGCTCCGCCGAGCGTCAACCCAAACACGCCCGTATGAAAACAATCATTTTCCCGCCAACATTTGCTTGCTTGTCAAGGGCATTCCAACGATCTGTCAAAAATGGCGTCTGTCAAAAGTTAGCCAGGGCAGTTCATTGGCCAGGTCGGGGATTCTAAAATCACGATTCGACATACGATTCGACAACGAGACGATTTTTCCGACGATTCTAGGTTAGAAATCTCATTGGAATTATACCTTTCGACACAGGAGCAATTATATGTCAGACAGTGATCACAAGTATGCGCATGTGTGAAGGATTTAGCAATGTTGCCAATTTTACTCTTTGCTAGAACGCGCGAAAAATGGAAAATATAAAAATTAAGCTGAGTATTGGCTTGAAAAAGCACTAGAAACTAGCCTGAATGGAAATGGATCTATAACTTCATGGACATCGACCATCGTGATTTTCTCATATCTTTGAAAAAAAAAAACATATTAGGGATTTTCCGGTGGTTTCTCTTGATGAAAAAAACAATGCAATTATTATATTTAATGTTTTTATTAAATATCTATGTATTTTGACAGTGATATTAGGTATTGCACTTTAAAAAAGAATACAATAATTTTTTAGGCATAATTATGTTCCTCAGAACTATTTTTCAAAATAAATTCTTGACCTAGTAAAGTATTTTTCATTTTGAAGCACTGATCACTACTTGGTTTTGAAACTGATATTTTATCTTTAGCCAACTTTCTTTTTTTAGTTGAAAAAAAGTTTTGTTGCTTTTTAATTTTTTTATTAGCAGGTTCACCTTGTGCTGCTGTAGGAGGTAGCTTTGATAATGTAATATTAATATTGCCTTTTAATAAATTAGTGATGTTCCGTTGCTGTTTTAAAGCGTGCTCGATAACAGTGTCATCTATGCCAGACAAATCTAGTTTCAGAACCTCTAAACATTGTTGTTTCAGTAACTCACGTGTGGGTTTTTCTGTACTTATATTACTTGCTGCCAGTGTTTTAAAATGCACATCCATTTCATTATTATTGCTATCGTGAAGCAAATTATTATTTTCTTCTTCTTTTATATCATAATGATTAAAAAGGATCACAGAATGTATATGTTTGCATATTGAAGCTTTTACAAAATACACTCCTGGACATAAAAAACCGGACAAACAAAATTTTGTTAAATTTCAATCCTAAATAATTTTTCCAATTTTGCATCGAAATTGATCATTTTTTGTCAAATGGTAGGCGCGTTTATCTTGATCATTATTTAATATTGTGTTTGCAAAAAGTTCGAATGGATTTGGTGTTATACAGGGTGGGACCATAAGTTGCATTTGCTCCCAAACTTCTGAACACTCTATGGAATAACTCAACGACACAATCATGCGTATTTGCAGGACATTCTTAAGCCTTATCATTTCTTAACATGTCTTTTTTCAATTCATATCAATATCTTCAATCTCAAAGGAAGCACAAGTTCTTAAAGTAGCAATGCAATTTAAACCAATAACAAAAATTAAACACATTACAGATAACTTTAACAAATAAACAAACACTAATATTGGGTATTACCTCCATGTGCTCTAATAACTGCTGCCATGCGACGTGGTAATCTCTCAATACAATTGGCAATAGCTCTTTGCGGAATGTTTTCCGACTCTCCGAGACGAGCTCTTCGAAGATCTGGAATGATTTCCGGTTGTCGACTGCGAATTAGCCTCCGTAACATGTCCCACACATGCTCAATCGGGTTCAGATCAGGGCTACGTGGAGGCCAGTTTAAACGTTGAATCCCTGCTTCATCAAGATAATCACTGACAACTGTTGCGACATGAGGCCTGGCATTTTCGTGCATCAATGAAAAATTTTCCCCAACAAATGGAGCAAAAGGAATAACGTGGACCGCTAAACATTCCAAACAAAGCAAAAAGACTGTAGCCGCAAAGCTTCCAACACAACTCTTGACCTCAATCTAGCAATATTTATACTTTAAAATTGTACATATATATACAATGAACAAAATAGATAATTTAAGAATTACAAATTTTTTTGCTTACATCAAACAAATGGTCAACCTTTGAACTTCATTAAAAGATATAAAAAATACAATTTCCTTATGAAAATCTGTCAAAAACGTTATACAAACAAAAGATAAAATACAATTTTCACAGTCTGGGAACAAACAATATAAAATGGACAGCTACGCAAACAAATGGTAAGTTTATACAAAAGATTATTGTTTACAATAATTTCTTACATTTACAATCAAAATCAATTAACGTTCAAAATTCGACTCATAAGAAGAAAACCGTGATGGTCGTTTAATTTGTCGCTTTGGCCTTCCCAAGTCTTGTGGTGACGTTTGTGGCGGTGCCACTTGACTTTCTAAGGTCGAATTAAGTCCTGGAGGGCTGCTCCTCCCCTTAGACATTTGCTTGCGTTGGCTGTCAGACGGTGGTTCTGCCGAAGGGCTCATATCGACACTGTGGAAAGAAAAATTTAACGAGTCACTGCTATCAGACAAAATCGGAGAGTTATCTTGTAAATTAATGTTTTCATAGGGCAAAATAGGTGAGTTGGTTGAATAGTTAAAAGAATTATTGGGTGATATATTGTCTTGCACATAGGGTGTTTTAACACTAGGCAAGTTTACAAAAAGTTCGCCTGAAGCAGAATTTTCTCCGTTATTTAGTGGTTTATACTGATTTGAGCTTGTTTTTGTGTCAGTTAAATTATGTTTTGAAAAAACGCTCGTTGGCACATCAGGGAGCGTTTTTTGGATTTGATCAGCGTGTCTTTTTAAAATGTGTTCATCTTCATCCTTACACGAGTAGGTAGTTCTTCCTAATTTTTCACATATAGTTGCTTTTGTCCAGTTTTTTCCTTTGTTGTAAACTCTGACGTACACATTTTCTCCTATTTCGAAATTCCTCATTTTTCCTCCATGGTATTTTTCTTGTGTTTCTTGGGCCTTTTTGAGGCGTTCTTTGGTTTCATCATTTTCGATTTTCTTCGAGGTTTCTACTGCTTCTACGTCATTTTCTTTCATTAATGAAAACCTTGTTCTAGGTTTTCTGTTAAACATCAGTTCGTAAGGGCTTTTTCCGGTGGTGCAATGAGGTGATGTTCTATAAGTAAAAAGGAAACGTGACAAAATTGTTGAAATTGAGGTTGTCTTGTTTTTTGGATCTTCCAAGGCCGTTTTTAGTTTGTTCTGACTAGTTTTACGGTAATTTCTGCTGCACCATTTGATTTGCTATGGTATGGTGGAATTGTGACGTGCTTGATTCCATTGTTCTTGAAAAAAATTTCTACAATAGATGAAATGAGCTGCGGGCCATTGTCACTTACGACCACTTTTGGTAGTGAAAATCTGGAGAAAACATTTCTCATAACCTCCACGGTAGCCTCCGCTGTAGTGTTGTTCAAAGAAAAAACTTCGATCCATTTAGAGTACGAATCAAACAAGACAAAGTACATTTTTCCACTGAATGGACCAAAAAAATCAATATGGACTCTCTCGAAAGGAGCGTTGCTTATGGGCCATGATGTTAAACTTGTTTTAGGTGGATTCTGGTGATTTTCTAGACACGAAATACATGATTTAATGGTGTCTTCAATGTCCTTGTCAATATTTGGCCAATAGACTATCGATCTGGCTAATGATTTAGTTCTGGATATACCAAAGTGTGCAGAATGTAATTCAGATAGAACTTTTTGCCTTAGCTTTTTAGGTATTATGATTCTATGACTCCATGTTAGGATTCCTTTTTCAATAAATAATCCATCTTTACGATTATAAAAGTTTTTTACATTTTCATTTGCCTCTTTGGGCCATTTTTTTGTTTTCATAAATTTAATAACTTCTTGCAACTCAGTGTCTAAACTTGTTTCCTTTCTGATTTCCTCGTTGTTGATAGGCCAGGCTTCTAGGGTCTCTGTAAAATTAATATACAAACCATCCAACGTTTCGTCTTGAACTGTCTTCATCGGCTTTCTGGATAAAAAAATCTGCTACAGGGTTGTTTTTTCCTTTTATGTATTCGATCCTGTAGTTAAACATAGACATAAATGCTGCCCATCTTTGGAGTCTATTTATGGCCATCTGCGGAATACCCTTGTGTTCACCAAAAA